TATGTTGGCATGGTCAGTTTAAGGTGTGTTAAGCTATCCGACTGAGGTTAAGCTGTATTAGCCTATGCGTCTGTCTATAGCTTTGTCATTGAAGTTCCCCTTAATTATCTTTGGGTGGGTTCTACTCTTGGCCACATTCCGCATGACGTAGCTCCGAGAGAAGGAAATCATGTGGGGTTATTTTGTGACCGATTTTGTCAACCATTTAAATTACCGTCATACTCTTGGGAAAACATGGCACTCGTATCCGCTTTTTATTACTAGTCATTATTTAATCTAGAAAATACCCTAGAAAATATTCTCGTCTTCTTTAATTGAATACTCAAAACTTTGAAGTCCAATCCATGATATGATCTTGATATTTTTATCACTTTATTACTTGAAGGCGATCATAGTAGTTGGTGTGCACTTGCACTACTATTGTGCCACGTTTACGTGTGTGTGTATTTTTGCTATCAACCTTCTTTTGAGAACCAGTGAAATTGTGATAACTTTGTGAACTAGTGCATTATGTACTATTTCATGTGATAATTTTTCATCAAAGACTAAGATTTAAAATATTTATTAGCATATATTTGTTTCACAACTGTTTATTTCACATGTTTTTCGTTTCACAATGTGAACTTTGTTAGTTACACGTAAAAAAGTTTCACATTGTGAACCGTAAACACATGAAGCAAAAACGTTGTGAAACAAATATATGTTTGTCAATACACTAAATGCTAGTCTTAGATGAGAAAAGACATGTTAGTGTGTGTGTGTGTGTGTGTGTGTATATATATATATATATATATATATATATAGAGAGAGAGAGAGAGAGAGAGAGAGAAAGATGGAGGTTCATTTAGGAACACTAAATTTTTAGGAACGTGGGGACAACCTATTTTGTAAGTATTCATGATGAATAACATAATAAAATATTCATGATGATTGTTGTGACAGACGTTCATGATTAATAATATTCATCATGAATACTCACAAAATAGGTTGTCCTCGCATTCCTAAAATATTTAAGGTTCCTAAATGAACCTGCCTCTCTCTCTATATATAGACGAATGATCGTGAGAGAATGATAGTTAAGATGAGAAACGTAAGAAGGAATTTGGACCCGTTTAAGGTTCCTAAATGAACCTGCCTCTCTATATATAGACGAATTAAGATTGATTTGTAACAGTTACATGGTTCGTATTTGAAACATTCTATATATATATATATATATATATACACACACACACACATACACAAATATATGTGCCAGGTCTTTGGCGCCTCCCATCTCCCTCGTTTTTTCAACAGAAGAAGAAGAGGAAGAGGAAGAAAACTCCAAGGTGGCGTCAACACTTGGCATAGTTGTGATTGAAGAAGAACAAAACAACCCTTGTATAGAAATTAAGAAGAGGAACAAAATAATTGAAATTCCGACCTTCCCCCGTCTTCTATATAAACACCCATTCTTTCTTTTTTCCGATCTAAGACATCCAAACATCCATTTCTAAATAAAATCCAGATCTAAACACGTTTATGTTTTCGTTTTTCAAATTGCTTTTTCGTTGTTATGATTATGGTGGTGGTTGGATTTAAACCTAGAGTAGGGATGACAGATGATGGGGATTTAAATCTAGATTACGATTATGAGAGGAGGAAAAGACCAAAGTACCCCTAACTTAGCATAATTGTTTTAAACCGTATGAAACAATAGGGACCAAATCTGTAATTTAGGATTACAATTATTATTATGATTATAAAAGAATAGAAGCAAGTGTAAGGTGGGTTGTATCGTGATTGATGATGGATGATGGATGATTTGAGATGCAAGTGCCAAGTTGGGATGAAACACAAATAAATATTGAAGATCCATCATTGACTGCTTTTCTTGTACTTGTGAATGTCAACTTTAACTTGACACCCTCAAATAATTGCCAACTTGGTAATTATTGATGTTGTTGTTTACTAAAAAAACCCATGTTAGCTTAAGCTTTTACATGTATAAATATAAATAAACACACATATATATACAAGGAGCAGATCTATGATGGCTTCAGTGGGATAGTGTTTGTCAGATCCACCGATTTTTATAAGTAGAATTTTATTTGGTATGAAAGGTGTACATGTTAAAATTTAAAGGGTGTTTTTAGGATGTTAGAAAATATAAGGGACGTAATCAAAAATTGAAAAGTCCTTCGACATCAACCAAAACCCTGAAAAGTCTCTTAAAATTAGCCAAAAAAACAAAATGTCCCTCAAAAACAATAAAATGTCTCTTCAAATTAGCCAAAAAACTGAAAGTCCTTCGAAATCAACCAAAAACTGAAAAAACACTCTTGAAATCAACCAAAAACCGAAAAAACACTCTTGAAATCAACCAAAAATCCCTCGAAATCAATCAAAACCGAATAAGTCCTCGAAAATCAACAAAAAAAAAATTAGAAATCCCTTGAGATTAACCAAAAACCTTAAAAAAATCTCTCTAAATAGTAGAATTCGTCTAAAAACCCATCGAATGACTTTGCAGGCCTTTGATATACCTTAAAGATGCAACCGCTCGATAAAAATCATGGGTGCGTCACTGATATAGACATATTATAATATAGGAAGGTTTAAGAGAAAACCGCAAAAAAAAGAAAAAAAAGAAAAACTGAGGTACACTGATAAACATGGTTTATTACATGCTTAAAATATCCATTTTTTGTGTTTAATAGGTAGATTTTCTTAGTTTATCCCAACTTTGAGTCATTTCTACTTTCTTATTTTCCATTTGTTATGTTTGGAGCTAAATGTGGTGATGAATTTGTTTTTACAACAATTTGGGAGTAGATGACATCTTTTGACGTATAATACTGCACTATAATGCTGCATCATTCAAGCATCATTGTCCGGATCCAGTTTGGCTTTTTGGAGAAGTGCTTAGTGGTTAAGCCATTGTCAAGGAAGGAA